ATAATAGTGCTAGAGTTTGAGTTGCAGTGAAACGCATGTACATACTGCAGACGTCTTGAGACCAAAGCAGCAGCTAGGAAAAGCTCGATTGCACCTAAATCCCCCAGCTACTTCGCTTTCCAAAAGGGTTTAGGGTTTAGGGCCAAAATTCAAGACCTCCAACCCCCCCCCTCTCCACCCTGGCCCTGGACCCTTGCAGAGGCAAACCGACGGCCGCACCTACCCACCGGACCGGGCTACGGTGGCCATGGCGGCAATGTGATTCTGAAGGCGGACTGTAGGCCTTAGGCCTTAGGGTTTAGGGTTTGGGCGCTTTTAGGGTTTAGATTAGAGTTTAGGGCGTAGAGCTTTGGGTTTAGGGCGTTTAGTTGAGGGTTTAGGGCCTTAGGGGGTTGAAGGGTTCAGGGTTTAAGGGCTTCAGGTGTAGGATTCCGGGTGCGGGTGGTCTCTGGATAATTTCAGAGGTCTTTGGCTGAAGACATGGGGGTGGTTCCGCGGTATGTGGCGGGCTGGATTGGTCCCATGAGTCCCCACAAAACTTTCACCCCAAGCAGGTACTCCGTGTAATTACGAAGGTGCCAGTCGTTCGAACTGACGGTGTTCAGCTCACTCCCGACCCGATGCAGCGTTGATCTTAAAGCCTTAATCTTAAAGCCTTAGCCCTAGATGTGGCAGGCGACGACCCAGATCGAAAGCTTCCTGGAGGCTTTGCTGCAGAAGTTAGCACCGGCGCAGTCGGGCTCAGCTCTACCCACAGACTGCAAGACCCCTTCAATTGAGGATATATATATATATAGGTTTAGAGTTTATGGTTCAGGGTTTAGGGTTTAGGTATATATATATATATATATACTGGGGCGCTAGACCCATTCCATAAACTGAGGAATATCTACCTGGGAGTCTTCATCGGGCACCCTTGTAGCGAGGGGAAATTGAACGCTATAAGCCCTTACATAGCTTTATCTAACAGCTCTTCAAACTCGAGAGCCTTATAAGTCAATTGGTATGAATTGCCTGCATACGTCCCTCGAGTGTAAAATCTCGTATACATCCCATGCCAAGCCGTATAACGCCCCAAAGAACCACCTAACGAGGAACCGAAACTTTAGATCCTAATCCCGTGCTTCACGCACCCGTTTTCCCTCTTCTCTGGGGAAGCATTCAATGAGGATGTGCCCGAGAAGATCAACGCCGAACACGGCGGAGACGGACCCCTGGCCGCCTTTTGAAGGGTTGTCAAAAAGCTGCCTTAAGGATTCGGGTTCTTTAATAAAGCGTTTCTGTTTAAGGGTCTCAAAAAGGATTATGGCAAGGGTCTCATGCAATTAGGGGCTTTCAGACCTAGGATAGGGGTTTGGGGCATCTTATAGTATAGTCATAGCGGGCCAGAGGCTTTAGGAAATCAGGCGCTTCGGGTTTAGCCTTAACCTGGAACCCCGATCTCTAAACAAAGCCGAAAATGTGCTGTTGGCCCTAAGCCCTAAACCCTAAACCCTAAACCCTAAACCCTAAACCCTAAAACCCTAAGCCCTAAACCCTAAACCGTACTAAGCTCCCAGGACACGACTCGTCGCGCGGGAAGTCAGGGAAGGACTATGTGCTCCAGGTGCCATGGAGCCTTGTTCTAGGACATTTTCAGGTGAGGAGTTTAGGGTATATAGGGTTTAGAGTTTAGTTTAGGGTTTGGGGGCGTAGGGTTTAGGGCTTAGGGTTTTGGTGTTTAGGGTTTAGGGGGGAGTTTAGGGTATGTAGGGCTTCTATAAGGCTTCTATAAGGTATATAGGCCTTCTATAAGGCTCCTATAACAGGTAGCTACCCACCTGAAAATGTCCTAGAGTTGTTGTTCTGTCGCACCTAGAAAACCCAGCAGTACAGAAGCCGGGTCGATCACCAATGTTATGCGTACTATGCTCTAGGATTCCTGATTATAGTAGCGCAATAGATTATACACCAAAGCCCTAATTCTACATAGTAGCACAATATATTATACACCAAAGCCCTAATTCTAAGAAGAACAGGGCCCCTAGACCACCCGATCCCCAGCCAGACGACAGCTCAACTCACCTAAGTCACACAGCGGGAGACAGAAGGCCTGCTCTAACCCAGCCCACCTTAACCTCAAAACCCGAAAGCCCTCGATTTTAAACCCTAAACTCTAAACTCTAAACCCTAAACCCTAAACCCTAAACCCCAAACCCTAAGCCCTAAACCCTAAGAAACCCTAAAACCCCAAGCCCTGGAGCCCCGAGCCCATGAGACCTAGAGTTTGAACTTGAACCCCTAAGCCCCTAATTACGGTTTAGGGTTTAGGGTTTAGGGTTTAGGTTTGGGGTTTAGGGATCCCAATTTATAGTACCCTAGACCAAAACCCAAAGCCCTACACGCCAAGTTAGAGAAGCCTCATGCTCCTTAATTCCTGCACAGGTGCCTCTGGGGACGATCATCCGAGAAACTTGGCTGCAAAACTATCGCTGCCCTAAGCCCCAGCATCCCCCTAAACCCCCCTAAACCCTAAACCCTAAACCCTAAACCCTAAACCCTAAACCCTAAACCCTAAACCCTAAACCCTCAAACCTAAACCGAAACCCCTAGAGGAGCCCTGACAGGAATCCTTATGATCCCTTACAGGAAGCCTAAGGATCATATACTCCCAGCACATGACAAGCCCCACAGCTTCGACATGGGGGGTGGGTTGGGTTTATAGTTTAGCGTGTGCTCCAAACCCTGAACCTCCTAAACCCTAAACCCTAAACCCCTAAACCCTAAACCCTAAACCCCTAAACCCTAAACCCTAAACCCTAAACCCTAAACCCTAAACCCCTTCTTCAACAGCTAAACACAGTGCTTGCATGGAAGCCAGGAGCGGGTCTTCAGTGGCGAGCGCACGTCCGAAGGCCGCTGGGCGCCATCGTGGCGGCTGTAGAATGGGTGTATTTGGATAGGGTCCTTTTAAAGGTATCTATAAGGGTTTAGGGTTTAGGGTTTAGGGTTTAGGGTTCACGGTTTAGGGTTTAGGGTTTAGGGTTTAGGGTTTAGGCTTCCTTGTAATGGTATCTATAAGGGTTTCTATAGGGCTTCTATAAGGGTTCTAAATATGGGTAGTTGTCTAAGGGTATATGGGAGTTTCCGACAATTAGGGGTACCATATTTTGGGGTCCTTATATTAAGGATCCTATTATTTAGGGTACTATATTAGGGCCCCCTATTTTCAGAAACCCCCATATGGACAGTTGTCTAAATTAGGGTCCCGTTTAGGGTCCAAAAAAAGGGTGCCGTACTATTTTGGGGACCGAAAAAGGGACCCTAATTTAGAGAACTGCCCATATTATACTAGAACCATAATGCGGAATCTCCCGAATAATATAGCTAATACTACGGAATCCCCAAAATAATATAGCTAATAGTACGGAATCCCCCAAATAGTATAGGTAATATTAAAAGATTACAGCTGAGAGGTTTAGGATGGTGGGGCTCAGTCAGGGGTTTAAGGGGTTGGAGTTTCTTCATTTCTTGAGTTTAGGGTGTTGAGCTTAGTATTTTGGAGTTTAGGCTTTCGGCGGTGTAGGGTTAGGGTTTCGTCGAGGAAATTCTGAGAACGGATGATGATGGTTTCGAAAGTGAAGGTCGCCGCATCTTCCTTCCGCAGTTCCGGTACCAGCACCTGGGCGACAGCAGACGGTTTAAGGATTGCGGCGCGAATTATAGTCAAATGCCCACATGATTAGTTGGCAGGCAACAGCAGGCAGTGGGAAAGCAGTTTCGATGCATTGCCCCCACAGCCTTGTTACAAACGCAGCAACACCACTCCAGATCCAGTGGAGCCAACGAGGGACGAACACTTGTTTCCGTTCTTTCATGGTATGCAGGCCAGATGGCACAGCCCAGACACAGGTGTAAGCTGCTTACCTAAACAGACGGCCGTTCTATCAAGGATCTGACTTAGTTTGGGCTGATACTGCCACAGACCACGCTTGAGTTTTCAGTTTTCAGTTTTCAGTCCGAAACCAGTCATCCCGCCCGGCTTTCCTATAAGAACGTGGGCCTTCTGCCACAATTCCTGATCCCCAGGTTCCTGCGCCACGAAGACACGTACATCGTTGCGAGAGGGGGCACAGGCTACTCTCTGGAGTGTTCAGTTTTTCGTGGCGTTTTGGGATCTTGTGTCCTTCTAGGAACCCTCTAAACCCTAGACCCCTAAACCCCTGAACCCTAAACCCTAAGCCCTAAACCATAAACCCCTGAACCCTAAACCCTAAACCCTAAACCCTAAACCCTAATCCTCAGGACCTCAGAAACCCCAGACATGCTGAAACCAAGAGACGAAGACCCTGAACCCCCTACCTGAACTCTCCTGAAGCCCTTACTGCGGACGCTAAACTCCCAAATGCATGAGTCGGGCCGCAGAAGCGGACATCTCGACTCTGAAGCACCGATTTTTTTATTCCGGATTGAGACTTTCCTTACCCTACCACCCCTAAACCCTAAACCCTAAACCCTAAACCCTAAACCCTAAACCCTAAACCTGAAAGAATATTAAAACATGGTTTCCGCAGTCCTTGGGTGTGAGTCTCGGGATCCTCGACATGAAGGGGCCCAGGGTTTAGGGTTTAGGGTTTAGGGTTTAGGGTTTAGGGTCTAGGGTGTTCCTGAAATGATTCCGAAAGTTGTAGTTGGATCTGTTGAAACGGGACGATGAATGAAGAAGTTCGCTCCCAATGTATAGCAGAGATTGTTGTGGGCGCCCTGAATAAGGAGTACAGTATTCCCTGATTTATAATAAGGATCCGTCAGATCGCCCCCAAACTAAACCCCAAACCCTAGATCCCATCGGACCCCCTGCAATGCCCTAAACCCCGGCAGGTGGCATTGGACCCAAGTCGTTCAAGAAGGGCGACAGCCGGCGGCCGACCCACGGTCAGAGGCCAGCAGTGAAGCCGATCTAGAGGGGTTTAGGGTTTAGGGGTTTAGGGTTTAGGGTTTAGGGGTTTAGGGTTTAGGGTTTAGGGTTTAGGGGTTTAGGGTTTAGGGTTGAGGGGTTTAGGCTTTAGGGTTTAGTGTGTTTAAGGTTCTCGAAGGTGCTGGAAATGGAAAGAAAGGTTCTAGAAGGGTGTTCAGAATTTGTCTGGACCGGTTCTGTAAGGGTTCTATACGGATCCCAGACAGATTTTACAAGGCTTGCACAAACTATAAGGGGTTTCTATGCGTTGAAGACATCTCAAAAGGCTTCCATAAGGGCTCTACAGGTTGTTACAAGGTTCGAGGCTCAGGTGCACAGGTCAGAGGCATTTGGTAAGAGTAGACCCTGAGAGTACCAGTTCTAGCAGCCTAAACCCTAAACCCGAAAAAAAAATTGAACCCTAAACCCTAAAAAAACCCTAAACAACCCTAAACCCTAAATCCCAAAAAACCCTAAACCCCAAACCCTAAGCCGGGTGTTTGTGCAGGAGCCTAGAGGCTTTCTAAAGGCCAGGGAATCTTTGGTAACACCATGCCAGTAGGGGTGCCCTTACGGTTTAGGGTTTAGGGTTTAGGGTTGAGGGGTTAGGGCTAAGTACTTGTCTGTCTGGTGCTTAGTAGGGAATGGGGGATCGGACCCCTATGATAGTCCCATTTCAGGTCCCTTAGAGTAGTCCCAGGAACCCCTTCCCCCATTCCCTACTCAGCACCAGACAGTTGTGAGTCTAGAGGTTGGGATACCCTTAAAGTCCCGATGTACTCTAGGGGCCTTCTTAATTAGAATAGGGTTTGGGGTATGTCATACTACAATTATAATAAGGAACCCCAAAACCCTATTGAAATTATTAAGGCCCCTACATTAGTAATGGTGCTACAAGAATATGTCCCCTGCTTTGAAGGATCCCGGGATCTGCAGGAGGGCTGACCTAAACGGGACCCTAGTTTAGAGAATTACTCCTGGTTTAGGGTTTAGGGTTTAGGGTTTAGGGTTTAGGGTTTAGGGTTTAGGGGTGCCATCTATGGAGGCACTCAGGGTCCGGGAATGACTGTGATTTTGGGTCTGCTCTGCACCTTGGCTGTGTGCCGAAGCTTGACTTACAGAGGCTTTCGTACTTGGGCTTAGACTCTCATCATTTTCCAGCGTTGGGCCAGCCAACAGAAGTGTCTTCGGGAATGGAGAACATCAGATTTCTTTGACGAGCCATGCGCTGCCAGTGGTCATACTGTGGCCCATGCCCATGCAGCACTCAATTGCTAGGGAATAGCGAGATTGACAGGAGCACACTTCGTCGGAAGCTTGGTAGCGTGGACACCACGCCCAGCTCAAGCCTGAACCCTAAGCCCCCAGCTCCCTGAGATTCCGAACTTTGAAATCTGTGACTCTCTGAAGCTTAAGCTTGTTTCGAACCTAGACCCTCAACGGGAAACTCCCAAACCGGCCTGTTTTTTGACCGTGGCTCTCGCCCCTGCATTCCAAAAGCCAGGGCACGTTTGGAGCTTGAGCTGCGTCTTATGAACGACGCCACCTTGGCAGGGGCCCAAGGAGGGCTCAACATCCCACCCCCTACGACTACGACGACACCTGCTACTGATACTGCTACTGATACGACTGCAACCAACTACAACAGAAACAACAACCACTACTACTCTACTACTCTACTACTCTACTATTCTATTACTCTACTACTCTACTACTCTACTA